CACATATATATATATATATATATATATATATATATATATATATATAGATAATATATACCATATTATATATACCATAATATTACAGAGTGTTATTTTAAAACATTATAAAAATTATTATATATTATTGTTATATTACTAGATTATATTATATATTCATAGCTTAATTTTGATTAATAATAAATAATATAATAAATATATTTTTATAATTTTCATTAATATAAATAATTGTGAATATAATTGAAAATAACATACTATGTAATAAGTGTCCTTGTTCTATATTACAATTATTGATACATTGTATTTGAAGCTATTGATATTATCTAAATCTTACGTAAATATCGAAGATAATATTTATATTTAATCAAATATATTTCATTGTAATAGTAAGAAGACAATGCAAACAAATAAAAAAAATATTATAAAATGAGTATATTAATACTAATAAATTTATAAAATTTAAAAAAAATTTTTCTTCCAATGATATAAGTTTTATTTTTATATATCTATTTTTATCAATATATATCTATTTTTTATATATATATAAATATATATCTATAATTTTATATATATCTATTTTACAATTAAATACACAATGACTGCTACTAATTATTATTATCAATTATTTTATACATAATTACATTATGAAAGATACTTATCAATATAATGTAATATTTCAAAAACAACTTCAACCATAATAAGAATAATAATCATCCATTCTAAACGAATGTGATGGCGATCGCTTAAATGTGAAGATAAAATTGCTACAAGCTCCACACAATGATTTAATTTTTCATTTATTACCTATAAAATAAAATTAACTTATTTTTACATTATACAAATATTTATTTTGAATATCATGAAAAATTTTCATTCTATATTTTACATTTATTTTGATATAAAGAATCATTTATTTTTTGTTGTATTAGAATTTTTTATATTTTATTTATAAATTTATATTATTAAATAATTAATTTAATAATTTTTTTGTACTTACTCTTGTACGTTTTGCAATGTTAAAATACGAACAAGTTTCCTGATAAAGTTGTTCTAAATCTTCTCTTTCCCAATAGAAATCTGGAGTATCTAATAAATCTGAGCTTAAATTAATAGAATGTCGCAATGCAAATAATTCCCCTTGCTTTTTTAATACTTCATGTTGAGTCATTTCTAATTTTTTACCAGCTTTTAAATCTTCAGTAACAAATTCTATGGAATCTATATAATTATCTAAAGATGCTTCCCATATGCCCAATTTCACTGATTGTGCAATTGCATTAGAAAATGTATACTTATCTAATTTTGTTGCATCTAAAGCTAAAATAATGTTACCATTTTTTATATGATTTCTTTTTCTGCAAAATATTTAGTAAATGAATATACTGTTTTTGCATATATAAAAATAAAATTATAAAATTATTGTAAAAATAATGAAATTTGAAATTATTACCCATGTTCTGCATAATTGTAACACATCACTTCACTCTCAGATTGTACATCGTATTCCATGTAACGATTTTGTTCATATTTTTTTAAGAATTCTAATAAATTTTCACATTCAAGTTCAGAAATATTCCACATTACTATGGTACCTTCTCGAAAAAAGAAAATTTCTCTTGGCTCATGGTTTACTTCATACTTTGCCACGGCATGTATAACATCCGGTAAAGCTGTAAAAATAATCTAAATAAAGTGAAATTTAATGATATATATTATTCTTATACATTTAATGATTTTTTTAGATTGATTTTTTAGATTGGGAAATATAGGATTTAAAAAAAATAAAATAAACTATATTTATATATATTTGTTTAAAAATATGTAAATATTTAACAATATATATATTTTAAAAATTATATAAAATTTATAATATTTAAGATATCAATATCATTGAAAATACAAAAATTTATTAAAATATATTTTTTTATATAATTATATAAATTATATAATTGTACAAAGTATACATTTTTTTAAATATATAGTAAATATTTTTTTTATATTTATAGTTTTTTAATTTTAATATAATTACATTAATAATATTTTATTATCTATATGCCATAAATTTGTTGAAACATGTTGTTTATATAAAAATTTTTATTAAATAAAATATAATAATAATGTTATAAAATTAAAAGGATATAATAAAGTATATTTAAAATTCATTGTAATCAATTTATAATCATTTATAATCAATATTTAAAAAAAATTAAATATTTAATCAAATAAAATATATAAATATAAACATAAAAAAAATATAATATATATAAATACACACATATATATTACCCAGAAGAAAAATATTAATAACATATTATGTATTATGTATGAAATATAAATGTAAAATTAAAACATAAAAAAATATTAATTTTATATTTAATTGAAAGAAAGGATATATAAAAAATACTTAAATGTTTTATATATAAATAATTATTTATGATATAGATGGATATTAGAATGGATATTAGAAATATTATGTATAAATATTATGCTATATAAACTAATTAAATTTAATTTTAGTCAATTGTTCAATATAATCATTATGATAAAATAAAATTTTATTTAATGTATTATTCTATATATCATTAATAGTTAAGATTTAATTTTTAATCTACTAAAAATGGACTGTCACATGCACCTAATCCTGTTGCAACACCACCTTCATTAGCAGTAGCTAACTTTGTTCGTAACATATGACCACTTTGTTTGTTAACATATACATTATTTTCATCTGCTATTATAACACCAAAGATTCCTAATTCAGAAACTAATTCTTGCAGTTCAGTATCTATATTAATTTCAGGTCTAACCATGTAACTTTTATGAATTGGAGGACGAATTTTATCCATAAGAATCCAAGCTACTCTATCTTGCTTATTTTTTACAGATTCTAAGAAATGTTTTATATCTAATCCATATTTATTATTACAACCTCCTTCCCGTTGAGGTTTTAATACGAAACGATGTGGATCTGAGATTCCCATTTCTATAGCAGCATCTCCATGTTCATCAAAGTCTAATCCATAAAGTTCTATACAAAATAATATAATATTTCAATTCATGTTTCAGTATCATATACTACTAGTAAAATAATTCACTTACCAGTGAATATTTCTGTAATCTCTGCACATGTTTTTTCATTTTTTAAAAATCTACTAATTACACCTGGCTTTGCAAGAGTCTGTTGAACTTTTTTAGTTCCTGCTAAATGATACTGAATAGTAGGACACTTAATTGCTAAAGATCTTTCTATTAATAATCTTACTTCCCATTCTTTTTGTGTGTGATATTGTCCAGGTTCATAACCACACCTGTAATATACTACAGCTACAATATAATTATCTACTATCAATTCTTTTTTGTAGCCCAATTTAGCAGTAGCTGTTAATTGTGTTAAATTTCTACGAATGATTCTGACATTTGGATTTTGCTTTCTAATTTCAAATTCATGAAAACGTTGATCGCAAATATTATATGTAATATCTTCAATGACAAACAAAATTACTGCTCTGCAAGAGATAAAATTAAGTATTAAAATATGTTAATTAATTTTTTTTAAATTTAACTATATATCAAATTCAATTTTGTATTATTAAAAATAATTTGTATTATTAATAAGAAACATACTGTTGATTTCCATACATCATCCATGCTTTAATTATACTTGAACATATTATTTGTAATGCATTATTTTCTGGAAGATTTTTTATTTCTTTATGATAACCAAGCTCTTTTAAAACAAATTTATGTAATTCAGTTGAAGCAGGCCCTAACCAACCAAAGCCAGATGCAATTGTATTTATTTCAACTTGTTTCCAACAACAATATATATTCTTATTTTTATCTTTTTCTGGACAAGTTGTATCCAACATTAAGTCTGAACGTAATATACCAAGAGATATTTTTTGTACTGATCCTCCTTCATTGTTTATAATTTTACAGATTTCAAATAATTCTTTAGTAAAATTATCAACTTTAATTGTTTCTTCTAAAGTTTCTTTTAAAAAATTATAATCTTGGGCAACTCTATGTATAAGCATATTTAATATTACTTGAATCTGACAAGCATTTATAAATTCCTTTCTAGGAAATGGAGATGGCATTAGAATAAATGGTGCAAATTGTAGGACATTTCTATTAAAATTTTGTTTAGGTCTCATGCACATTCCATGCATGAGTGCCCAATCTTTTGTTTTTCTATTAATTCTTCAATTTCTTTTTTAGACGAAGGTAAACATAATGTTGAATCCATAGTTATTTCTTTCTTAATTTAAATGCTTAAAAAAACTATTCAAATTATAGATTTTAAATTTATATGAATTTAAATTATTATACATACATACTTATTTACTTTCTTGTAATAGGTTTACAACTCATATATGTATATATGTATGTGACTTATTTGTGACCTTTATAGTATAGTAGATATATATCATAAATAATTCATCTGTATATAATACTTGGGCCTGATGTTGAAAACTTGTAAATAAATAAAACTGTAAATATTCAAACATTTTAATTTACTTTACATAGATATTATATATATTATATATTATATATTATTATTATATATTTTAAATGTATTCTAATATAATATTTTTATGCAATTTTATATTTATAAATCTTAAGGTATATTATAGAAATACTGATAAAAAATTACAAAATAACTTTAATATAATGAAATTTTAAGCAACAAAGAATTAAATTACAATTTAAATCTAATCTAATATTATCATAATATTTTCTTCTATCTTTTTTCAAGATTATTAAAATTTAACGAATTAATATTATATTATTTTTTTGTTATTTATATTTATTTTTATTATATATATTTATTGTTTTTGTTATAACAATGCAATAAGAAAAAACCTCAAAAATTTATAAAGTGATTTTTGATAAATAATACAAAATTTTATTTTTTTTCTTTAAACACTTTTTTTTATTATTTGCTATATACATATCATAATAAAATATTTCAGATAAATATAATAATATATAATAAATCTTATTTTAATGAAAATAGTTTTTTCACAAATTAAATTATCTTTTAATAATATCTATCTATCATCCATCTTATTAAATAAATTATTATTTCATGTTATATTTAGTTTTTATATTACATTAAACTTATTTTTATTGCTATCATAATATTTTAATCATTAAGCATTTTAAATCTTATTTATTTTATTTAATACAGTAATAGTATAATTATATTTATATAAATATAAATAATAAGTTTAATAATTATATTATTATTCAAATAATATAATTTATTTATGTCAGTAGGAAATTTATTTATTAATCATTTTTTAAAAAAATGAATATATTATAAAAAAATATTTTTAAAATTAATTTTTTTTAAATTATATTATATTATATTGTATTATATGAATATGTACATGTATGTATACACATATATATATAGTATATAATATATTAATTTACATGCATATTAAAAGCATGATAAATAATTTTAAGAAAATATAAAAGAACTAAAAAATTATAATTAAATTTAATTTTAAAATTTAATTATTATTAAATTATTAAATTTAATTATAAAATTTTATATTATTATTAATTTATATTATTTTATATTATTAATATATATAATAATATAATTTATATTATTAATTTTATATTATTTTATTTTTTAAAACAGTATTATATTTATAAAATGTTTTAAGAAGAAACTTAAAAATTATTAATTTATTATTATATATATTAATATATATTTTATTTATCATATACATTAAATTATAATTAAGTAAAAATTTTTTTTATAATTTTATCTCTCACATTTCTCTTATTAGATCCATCTTATATTTTAAAGAATGATTTAACTATTAAAATAAAATAATTATAAAATAATTCATAAAATAATGAAAATGTTTTATTATATCATTTTACAAGGATATTATACTTTAAAATATATAATTAAAATATAAGAATAATTTATATATATTCTTATTTATAAATTTTTATCAAAAATAAATTAAATTTTAATATACTCACAACTTGTTGATGTATTTATACTACTTGGCATATATAAATTTTGTTCAATGAGACCTTTCACCAAAGATTCTAAATTATATTCTTCTGAAGTAGCCAATGCTTTCATACGATATGACTATAAAAAAAATTCTTATTAAATTTTCAGATAATTAATTTATTAAGTTTATTATCAGATATTGAAATATTTTTGAAAACATATTATAGCAAACAATTATTAAAAAATATTTTTACTTACAGTATTAATTTCTTCATAGGTAGAAAGAGATTTTCTTTTTTTGGGTCTTTTCTTCAATTGAACAGAAGAATAATTATTTTGATTCTCAAATAATTTCAAATTAGACTTAATTTCTTTAAATCGAACTTTAGTAGTATGTAACAAATTTTTATGATATAACTGTAAACTGAATTTTGTCATAAATACATGTGTTGTTAATGCATCATTACATGATGTGAAAATAGTATTAATTTTTCTATAAGTATCAAAATTAATATTACTTCTACATATCGAAGTAATATATCTATATATCATGCAATTCATTCTAAAAAATATTTTTACAATTTTTTTTTAATTTACTTAACAAACATGAAATAATAAATATTCATTAAATTTTTTTTATATTTCAATAAAAATTGAATATCTATGCTTTACTTTTAATAATAAACTTAATAATATTTATGTTAGAAATAAACGAATTTGTGAGTTTATAAATTGCAACGTGACATACTTACATACTATAGTATAGTATAAAAAATATATAATACTAAAAAAAATATTAAATAAGAATAAGAATGAATATTAGAAATTAAAATAGTTATAACATAAATAATTTTTACAAATATATTCAACATAGTTTTTAAGAATTTTTAAAGTATTATTTATAATAATTAAAACTTTTTATCATTTTAGGAAATTGTATTATGTATATATATTTTTATTTTTAATAGATTTTATTTTTATAAGATAATAACATGTTAAAATTTTATTTTAACATAAAATATTTTGATTAAAATTTATTTACAATATTATAAAAATATTATAATATTATAAAAATATTTATTACATGTTTCTATGTAATTAATAGAAAAATTATTACTTATTTTATTAATATATTTTATATTTGCTATTTAAATTATTTTTAATTTATTATTATTATATTAGATTTTTCTATAGTGAAAATAACTTAAATAAATATTATATAATTAAGTTCAAGAAATTATATTTATATTTATTTATATTTTTTATTTATATTTACTTATATTTATACGATATTATATTATTTTGGATATGTATTATGCTTTCATGAGAAGTTACCTTTTTTCTAAATGCGTATCTAAACAGAACACATGATCTTCGTTGTTGTAACGTAGTAAAAAAACTACCAAAATGTCAAGAAGACATTATCATGTATTTTCGATCGAGTATCGCACAATCTAAACTAAAAATTATATTTTATTAAACATATTTTTCAAGAAAGTATGGCACTTACACGAAATCTTACTTGTAAATTAAAATGTTATTTATTAAAAGTACCGAAAAAAATTTGTTTGTATCACGTAAGGCATATTAGGTAAACGTAATAAATTAATTCATTAATTTGATAAAGTAAAATATTAAATATATATATATATATTTTTTTTCAAATATGTATACAATAAAATTAAATTTTATTAAATTATAATTATATATTGTTAATGTTATACAATTTTTCTTTTCAAAGATATTTTGATTAATTAAAAATTTTATATATAATTTTTTGTATAATTTTATATAATTTATTTCATATATTTATATATATAAAAATATATATATTATATAACTATATTATCCAAAAATAAGAATATTAACTTAATATATTATTGTATATTTTAATAAAAAACTGGACTAATTAATTATATTAAAATATATATATAGTATATAATATATTTATTATAGATTGGCAGAAGTGGGAAAATTGGAAACACCAAAATTACAAGGAAAATATGAAACTGGTCAATTAATTCTACACAGAGTATTTGGTTATCGTGGTGTAATATTGTTTCCTTGGACAGCACGGGTTTATGACAGAGATATTCCAAATAAAAAAGAAGGTAAATTTTTTATTTAATTATTAAGTTTATATTATAAGAAACTATACAAAAATTCTAATTTAATTTAGAAACACAAATGATCATTACAATAGTGTAGGAAAAGAAGTAAAAGGAAGAACTCATACATTTTATCAGGTATTAATTGACCAAAGAGATTATCCTTTTATAGTAAGTATAATTAATGAATATAACAAAGGGATATTTTAATCTAGATAATTATTTTTGAATCAACTATTGAAAAAAAATAATTCATGTAAAGAAATTTAACATATTTTTAAGTTTATAAGTATTAATAGTGTAATATTATATTAAAACTATTAAATTATAATTAATATTAATACTTTCATTTTAATATTTTAAAAATATTTCCTACACAAAAATGAAAAAATATAAAAATTAGATTTTTTAATTTTCTAGAATAGAATACCTTTTTAAGAAACACACACATATACAAAATAAGTATATAGAAAAAAAATTAATATTATAAATCATTATCATATATTTATGTATAGCGTGCTCAAACAGAAGCTGTAACCTTTTTGAGTAATCATGAAAGCAGTCATAGCTTATATACAGTACCAGGATTAGATTATGTTGCTCATGAAGATATTTTACCTTATACTACAAATGAAAAAACTGCATTGCAACATGAATTATTTGATAAATTCTTAGCATATAATCCAAATCAAGAACCATGTTTTGTGGCACAAGAAACACTCAGAGCATGGCAAAAAAAAAATCACCCATGGTTGGAATTATCAGATGTACATAAAGAAACTACTGAAAATATTCGTGTTACTGTTATTCCATTTTATATGGGTTATAGAGGAAATCAAGCTACTGCTGCACATTGGGTAACTATTATAACACAAAATATTAAAAAGTTTAATAATAATAATATTAAAAATTAAAATTATATAATAATTTACAAACAGAAAACTTAAGAAAATATTCTAGCAAATATATAGAATGAAAACTCACATGTTTTTGAGTTACCAATAATTTTGTATACTAATAATATAAGTATATGTTCTATGTTTGAAAATATTCTCATATTTCAACTTAAATTTACTGAATTAATTTTTATGAAATTTTATAAAAAGACAGTGTATTCTTTATGATTAAATGGTTTAAAAGATATGTTTAGGTTTAAAAGATCTGGGATGCTTATCAAATAACTTGATAAAGACTTGGAAATTTGAAAAACTTTGCAGCTCTGTAAGTAGTTATAAGGTATTCAACATATGGAAGTTCAAGAATAACATAACTTTGATAGATATTAAAAATTTGCAAGAGAATTCTTTGTTTTCAGGCTGCATACAACATATGGAAGCTCATAAGATACTTACATTACTTATATACATACAAAATTGTTGGTAACTCAAAAACTGGTGAGTTTTTGATCTATGTATTTATTAGGATTTCTTATTTATTATATACTATTATATACTTTATTACATATATTCTAAATTGATTTTTTTAACATTTTACATAATATTTTATATTTGACATATATATAATACAAGATATAAATTAAGTTTGACCAACTTTAATTATTTCATGAATAAGAAAAAAATATAAAAATATAGAAAAAAATTTATATTTTTAAAATAATACTTAAAAAATAAAAATAATCAAATATCATAATAATCTAGTCATTTCAATATTATTTTTTTTTTAAATATTCGTTATTTATTGTATTTATGTAATTTTTATTAATTTATTTCAATATTATAGAGTTTTATTTTAATGTTATTTTACATATTGAATATATCGTGAATCGCGAGTTGGTCAGGCTTAAGATAAATAATTCTACATTATATATGATTAAATAAAATATTTAGTGGCGTTATTGCATTCGTCTGGAAAATTTGGGCGATTTGAGCGTACAATTACGTGAAAGACATTGGAGGATATTTAGTCTCTCTGGTACATTGGAAACTGTTCGAGGACGAGGAGTAGTTGGTCAGGAACCTGTTTTATCAAAAATATTACCTGCTTTTCAATATAGTAGTCATGTGAGTTTACAAGCTGCAAGTGGACATATGTGGTATGTATTTTATTAGTACTTTAGATTCATAATAAAAATCTTTTTATTTTGAATATTATTTTAATATGTAATATTTTAAAAAATATTTTATTCTTATGGAATAATAATATTCAATTCAAAACTAATTGAATTTTATTTATCTTTAATATTTCATTTAACAAAATTAATATGATATTATTCTTTTAAATTTACATAGAATATAATATAGAACATAATGTAATAATTGTTAATTAAGTGAAAAAAAAGAATATTGGTTGTAAAAATAAAATAAAAATACAAAATAAAATTGTTGAAAATTTTTTAAATTAATTCTATTTTTAAAAAAAATTTTAATTATATATCATTTTAGGGGTACATTTAGAATGGAAAGAGAAGATGGGTATGCGTTTGATTGTAGAATTCCACCATTTTCTTTGGAATCAAAAATAGAAAAACCACCTTCAAATATGAATTCTTAATTATGCAATGTCCTATGAGAAGTAATAATTATTTTGATATATTGAAAATTAATGAACAATATAACTCAATATATATGACTCTTATATAGTAATATTTATATTGGTTGTACTATCTGATTATAAATACTATGAGTAGAATTTAAGCTATGTAGTTTTTGGTATACAGTAAATTTATAACAAACAATTTTTTCGTATTATTTAACATGTTATTTTAGATAAGATTAGTTATAGGCATACAAATAAAATATAATTGTATAGATACATTTTCTGTTCATCCTGTAATTAATTTAAGAATAAAAAAGATTTAATTTCTTTAAATATTTTTAAATTTATAAAATGTCAATGTAAGATTAATAAATCTCATATTAAGCTTATATTGACATATATATAAATATATGATATATATAGATGAATTTTTAAATAATATTATAATTAATATTAAATATTTTTAATAAATTAAATATGATTATAGAGATATATTCGAAAACAAAAGAAATTAAATTTGTTTATTAATTAGTTCATATTTAATTGAATTAATTTATATTGAAATTGTAATATTTCTTATGTAAAAAATTAAAATTTTCAAAAAATTATATGTCAATTTATAATATTTTTTTTCAATTTCAATGAAAATTTTTTTTATTAAATTATTAATAAAAGAATAGAAGAGGTTAAAATATATGCATATATTATACAAATATTCAGTACTTATATATTTATGTATATATTTTAAATTATAATATTCTAACTGATGTATAATTTTATGATATCAAATCAAAGCTTTTTTTTTTCATAATTATATTAAAATATTTTGTTTTTTTAAAATTGTTCGGAAATTGAAGCCTAAGCTAAATCATAATTTTTATTTTCTATTAATTATAAATATTCATTTTTCAATTGGTTTACAATATCTTTTTATTTTTATTTAAATTATAAATATAAATTCTATTTAAGTATTTATATTTTTGTTTAAAAATTTATAAATTAATGTGAGAAAGAAGTCTTTTAAAAGAAATACAAGTTTGATTGGTTATTTCTAATGAGAATAATACAAATAGACACGCATATTGGCCAAAAGTATCACATCTACAGATAAGATCATAACATCGTGTGTAAGTGACTAAAGGAGGGGAATATTCCCTTTGCCTCTGTGCCGTCTCACGGACTTCTTTCTAGTTCCTTATAGTAGATAATATTATCTTTCTTGTTCCGTCTATCAAACGAATGAAATGCATGTAACAAAAGTGGTATGCTTCTGTGATTTCTGAACTTTGTATAGTACTTGGTCGAAATTTTTAATCGAATCTATTAAAATTAAAGCAAGAAGGATTCGTACATAACGATGGTTGCCTGTGAGTTATCTTTTTATTTATATTTATACATTCAATTTTCATATTTCTTTCTAATATGATATTTGTGTAATACATGTATAGAAAAATCGAACTTTTCGACATAGCGAATATTAAGTTCTACATTCTGTTTAGCCACTCCCTGTTTTTATGAACTATTATGATATTAATATAAATGCTGTTAATAAAATGTTTATTTTTCAAAAAAATTAAAATTAATTAATTTTTGACTTTAAATATTTAAACGAAAGACTTTTTTTTAGAATATTTATAATATTTATAATTTTACAATTAAATTAAAAATATATTTTCGATAAAAAATATATACATATTTTATATTAAAATATAATATATAACATTTTCAGAAACTTAAGATATTTTATTAAAAAAAAAATTAAATATTATTTTTCTTAATTTAGATTAAATATATATAAATTATATATTAATTTTATTTTTAAGCAGCAGGTATTTTAACATCAGAAATTTTAAATCAATTACGTGCAAAATTTTATGAAGATAATCGCAATACTTTGGCACAAAATGTATGTACAAGAACTAATCCCTTAGAAGTTTGTGTTTCCCGAAAAGTTTTGCAAGAAACACAACATGTATTTACTCACAAGATTGCAACAGAAGGAAAACCTATTACAAATCAAAAAAATTCTGGCCGATGCTGGATATTTTCTACTTTAAATGTTATAAGAAGTGCCTTTATGAAGCAATACAATTTAGATGAGTTTGAGTTTAGTCAAGCTTATTTATTCTTTTGGGATAAGGTTTTTATTATATATTACTAATGTTGCATAATATATATATATAGTTTTTTATATTTATAAATATATTTTTCATTATATAGATTGAACGATGTAATTATTTTTTACATAATATTGTAAAAACTGCTAAAAGAAATGAACCAGTAGAAGGTCGATTAGTTTCATTTTTGTTACATGATCCTATTTGTGATGGAGGTCAATGGGATATGGTTGTCAATCTTATAAATAGACATGGTCTTGTTCCTAAAATCTGTTTCCCAGAATCATATAATTGCGAGTCTAGTTCACGCATGAATACTATTTTAAAGAGTAAATTGAGAGAATATTCCAAAGTTTTAAGAGATTTAGTATCTCATGGTGCAACAGATGAAGAATTAGAAGCTCAGATTTTGGAACAAATGGTTGTAATCTATCGAATAATTGGTATTTGTTTAGGTATACCCTCAAAAACTATCACTTGGGAATATTATGATAAGGCAAAGAATTATAATTGCATTGGACCTATTTCACCAGTAGAATTTTATGAAAAATATGTGAAACCTTATTATAATGTAGATGATAAAGTATGCTTAGTAACTGATCCTAGACCATCTAATCCATATGGAAAACTTTATACCATAGACTGTTTAGGAAATGTTGGGGTGGAAGACTTACACTATATAATAATCAACCACCTGAATTATTAATGAAATTATGTGCAGAAAGTATAAAACAAAATGAACCTGTATGGTTTGGATGTGATGTAAACAAACGATTAATAGCTAAACAAGGTATACAAGATATGAGAGCATATGATTTTGAATTAATGTTTGGAACTGATATCCAAGTTAATCTTACAAAAGCAGATAGATTACTTTATGGAGATTCTATGATGGTTCATGCAATGGCATTGACAGCTGTTTCAATTGATGTAAGTTAAAAAATTTTTATAAAAAATTTATACAAATATATTGATATTTTTTTGATTAATTTATATTAAAAGACATTTTTTTTATTTTAAAAAGTATATATTGTGTTTAAATATATTATTTAATTAAAACTCAATGTTATCAAATATATAAATATCTATTATATTCACAAAATTAATTTTATAAGTAAAATCGTTTTAAAAAAATTAAATTTTTTTTTATTTTTTTCTACAATTCTATACAAATTTCATTTACTATAATTTTATATTATTTACAATATATAGTATTATATAATTTTATATAAAATTTTTTTATTATTGAATTTTTTTTGTGTTTGAATTGTATTTTTTTATTGTTGAATTATATTATTATTATATTATATAATTCAAATATAATACAGAACAAAATTTTAATTAAATTATATGTTAAGTATGCATTAAATTATATATCAAATATTTTTTATTATTATTAAAAATTAAAGAAATATATAGATATTCATATTTAATGTATCATAAATTATTTATTATAAGTTATAATTATAAATTATAATTTTTTTTTAGAATGAAGGTAAAATTAAACAATTTCGAGTAGAGAATTCTTGGGGTGATGATCAAGGACAAAAAGGATATTTATTATTAACAGCTGATTGGTTTTCCGAATTTGTTTTTGAAGCAGTCATTGATAGAAAATTAGTACCCGAGAATGTTTTGGATGTATTTAAACAAGAACCTATAACTTTACCTGCATGGGATCCTATGGGTACTCTTGCTCACTGATAATAATGTAAGCTTAAACTACTTCAAGATGGAATATTTTAGTTAACAAAAGTGTGTATATAATATTAAAAATTGAACATCAAATAAAATTTTAAGCACATTGGTACAGAAAAGTACAATAAAATAAGACTTTAACACTTTTATAGTTCATTAACAATTAAAATAATTCTAGAGAATTAAATTATGATTTGAAATATCTAATGCTCTTTCAGATATAAAATAATATATATTGCTGTAATTAATAAAAAATTAAAACTGTATATTTAACATAGTTCCTAAAATTTAAGATGATCATGTGTATAATTTCGTTTTTAACTTAT